ATAGTACGGTGTACTGGTAATGTATACCAACGGTACGCACGTACGTGGTAGGTACGATACTGGTACGTATAGTACAACGTACGCTCACCGTACCAATACCGTGGAAATATCTTGTTATCTGGGTGATTATAAGCATGCGTCACGGTACGTCAGATACCATCGTTCTTATACGACGATTAATAATAATAATAATGATTAAACGATCATGTCGGTCCGTCACATCTGATATCTTCCCAAGGACTTGACTTGACGCTCGCCCGCTCGCGCGCTGCAGCTTCAAAACCAATACGCAACTGGGGAACAGAACGACCTAACGGGTCTGTTCTTCTGTACCAGTGAAAAGCATGAGAGTGACCACGCCGGCTTTTTGGGTGGAACTGGAGACTACCCCGTGCACTAGCGCCTCCACGTTTTCAAAAAAGGAACTACGTACCACGTGTATCTTAGAACATTGTCGGTCAAATCATAGCACGAGAACGCGGACGTGGTTCGCGTCTGTGCTAATCGGTGTCTTATATATGCCACATCCTTCTTTCTTTTTCTTTCTATTTACTTACGATACTTACGATACTTTGTGTATGATATCAGCTTTAACATATAACATTTAATATGTATGTACTTGTATTAAAATCTTTAATTTAAAAAAATATATAATTAATTTATGTAATATGAAGTTTTGCGAGAAATAGAAAGTAAAAGAAAGAAGGATGTGGCATATGCATGTGTAAGACACGATTAGCATGGACACGAATCATGTTTTAATGCTATGATTTGATCGACACTGTTATAAGATAGATGTGGTACGTAGTTCCTTTTTTGAAAACGTGGACGTGGGGCGCTAGTGTACGGGGGAGATCGCCGGTCTCACTCAAGAAGGCCTCGCGCTTCTCTCTGTAGGGAGTGTCTGATAACCGTGCGATAACAGGTTCGTTCTTATCGTGATTCGACTGAAAAGTCATCACCGGCACGATACGACAGCTTTTTTCCTGCGTTATCGAGAGGTCCAGGTGTATCTTCAGTCGTCTTCGCCGCGATTCGCCGCAGCAGGTGAGTGCCAGCGAACTCCAGAACTCGCATGCCTGCGCTTTTAGGTTAGAAGGCGCCCCTCCCTCCGCACCCGCGACCTTCACCTTCGCCTCTTAATCGCCTACTCTTATTCCGCGGGTATTCAAATCCCCGGGGTGACATTGAATCTGACTTGTGTTCAATTTCAGAATCGTACGGGACCGTCCCATTCATGAATAGCATAGGCGAGGCATGCAACGATCTGAAGCAACAGTACGACGCCTGCTTCCACACGTGGTTCTCCGAGAAATTCTTGAAAGGTGACACGAGCGACAGCACATGCTCGCACTTATTCAAAATGTATCAGCAGTGTGTCAAGGTAATTAAAGCGAGATTGTGTATCCTTTAGGAGATCCGCAAGCGTGTAGCGCATGAAAGGGGGTTGAGAGGGAGCGAGAGGGAGGTAAAAAGAGTCGCGAGGGTGGTCACCATGGACGAATGCAGTGAGTTGAAACAGAAGTACGACGCCTGTTTCAACAGTTGGTTCTCCGAAAAGTTTTTAAAAGGGGATACCAACGATTCGATGTGCGCTCCCTTGCTTAAAGTCTATAAAGATTGCGTGGCGGTAAGTTTTTTTTTTTTTGCGATGCTCTCCCTTCTCGCAGATTCAGTAGATTGCAAGAAGTCCGCGCCCGATTATGTTTTTCGAAGAAAGACGTTTCCTTTTAAAGTCCTTCTGCGTGCGAAAAGAGCGAGGGCGACGCTCGCAGTAACTCCGTGCCCCTCGTGTTTTAGAAAGCCATGAAGGAGCACCACATTGAACTGAAAGACATGGAGATGAATTATTTGGAAACCGAAAAGGAGAAGAAGCCGCACAGTTGACGAAGAAACGTCGTCCGCACGTTCACATCCGGGCACTACGCTTTTTTTATTACATCATCAGGTAATCGGCGACGTAAACGGTGCAACATCGAATGTCATTCCCACTTTTTATTGTGAAATGATGAGTAACTAAGTTTAACCGGGCCGTACTTATATTTCAATCGATAGTTGACGTTATTAGCTAGCCGTTGCACTATTACTGCCGAGCATTTTATACACTTGTAACATTGAACATTGAGATATTGTATCAAGAGAAAAATATGTACATATATCTATGTACCGCATACGTGTAATATACATATGTACATGTCACGCTTAATATTAAATTTAATTCTCTGTAATTCCAGCAACTTTATTAAATTTTTGGTCATCTTTAGCTACACTTTGTGAGAACAAAACTATATAGAAGAATAACTTTAATTGTTACAAATGAAACAGTTACTGGGCAACGTAGAGATATATAATTGAGCGAATAAAGCTAGTAAATAAATAAAGAACATTCCCTTTTATTCAACGATAGCAATAAATTGGTCTCTGCTTTTTCTTTCACAGCGTTCACAGAGCTTAATATTATTAATACTTTCCAATATTAATCCACTCGAATGGCTCAGCCCGTTGTGATTATTAATACAAAAATGTAATACAATGTAGTCGATAAAAAATTTTAACGGTAGAATGTACGAATATTTGATACGTGTAAACTGACGAGAAAGATAATGTCCGTTTGAATTTCTCATAGCATTTATTATTAATCACTTTTCGATTCCGCATCGGACGAGGATGGCGTACTCTCTATGGGTTCTTCCTCGCTTTCGTCCGACTGATCTCGCTTCTTCTTCACCGTTTCTTTTTTCTTTCCAGCATCCTCCGCAGGCCTCTTCTCAGGTTTTTTCTTCTTATCTTTCTTATCGTCCTCGCTTTCGTTGTCGGAGCGCTTCTTCACGGACTTCTTACTCTCGTCGCTGCTGCTATCGTCATCGCTGATGTATTCTTTGCTCTTGAATGAGGAGCCAGTCATTTGCTTGCTGGGCGAGTCTTTCTTGGTCTCTTTCTTCTTCTTCTCCGTCTTCTTTTCTTTAGTCTCTTTAGCTTTACCACCCCCGCTCGCCTCGTATTCCTTCATCGACGCCGCGTACTCCTTCTTAGCCTTGGCCGCCTTCGCCTCCCATTCGGACTTGTCCTTGAGTTCCCGCCACATCTCGCCTCCCTTCTTCGCGATTTCCGTCACGGCTATACCAGGATTGTCCGCCTTGATGGTGTCGCGCGTGCTGTTCAGCCACAGCATAAACGCCGTCGGGGGCCTCTTCGGCTTGTTCGCGTCCCTCTCCTTCTTTGGTTTCCTCTGCTTCCGCGGCTTCTCCGACACGGTCTTCGCCGACTTGGGCTTCTTCTCTTTCTTCTCCTTTTTCTCCTTTTTATGACTGGCCGTGGACGCGTCCGAGTCCTCGCTCTCGGAGCTATTGGGATTGCTGTCGTACTCCTCGGCGACGTCACTCTCAACCTGATTCGGATTGAAATCCTCGTCGGTCGAGCCTTCCTCCGAGTCCTGATTCCCCTCGCCGTCGCGCTCCTCCGCCTCCGCCTTGACCCGCGCCAAATAAGCGTCCGGCTCGTTCTCCTGATCGCTGTCACCGAAGTCCTGGTCGTAATTGAGCTTGTCGCTCTTCCCGCGATTCTTGACGCGCAATTTCTTCGCCGTGATGAAATCGAACAATTTATTGTACTCCTCCTTCTCGATACTGCTAAACGTGTGCACGACACCGCTCGTAAGCTCAATTTCGAAGTCGAAGGACCTCGTCGATCCGCCGCCGCGCGCAAAGTTCACCGACGCTATCTCCTCGAAGCGAATGTGTATCGGAGGTTTGTGCACGTAAATAAAACCGCGCTCGAGCGGATACAGATAACCTGCCGCGGCTTTGAAGGAGCAGCCGATAGCGGGTGTCCCTGTGTGACCGGTGAAGTGTCCGGGGCCGGTCAACTTTCGATTGATGATCACCTTCATCACCTGTGGTAAACGAATAATTTTGCATTAAGATAAAAATTGGCTAGAACACTAGAAAAAGTTTTCCTCTTTTTTTTTTGTTTACTAACCTTGCCGAGTACCTCGTACGTTGGTCCCGACAATTCCTTACTCAGCTTATTCTCGTACTTCTCCTTTAATTCCTTCTCGGTAAACGGCAGCTCGATAGAAGTCTCTTCCTCCTGATTGAACAATAGCACTAGATAGTGATATCGCGTCTGGCCCTGTTTGATTGGAGGATCCAGGCTCACGACGAAGAACATTTGACGACTGTCCTTGTGCGGCAGCAGGAAGAGTCTCAGTACGGTGGACATGGGTATTTTGTAGTCGAAGGTTTTGCCGTGCAGCTGAAAGAAGGTCTGGAAGATCTTGATGTCGTAACGACCGCGCGGCGTTAAACAGTGGATCTCCCGGAATATAGCGATCGCGTCGCCGCTCACACTGATCACAGACGCCTTGTCCATCACCTGTAATCGAGGAAATAAATTATTCTTCTGTCTTTTTTTAAGTCTGCAAATACATTTGGCGCGCGCTATCTATCGTCCGGATCCTCTGATTCTCACCTGCTGATGGAACGCCTCGACAGGATCTTGATCGACGCTGTCGCTAACGGGAATGTGAAACCTCATCTCCATCAGGCTGACCGGGGCGTCGTCGTTCTGATGGAACTCCAGCGTCACCTCGTTCTTGCCCGTGTTGCACTGCGACACGTCGTACAGAGGTATCTCGAAGGCGGTGTGATGGCCGACGTCGAAGCTCAGGACTGATCCGTTGAACTTTGCGGTGCCCCAGTTCCAGCCCTTCAAGCTCAGCTCCTTCTCCAGCATGTCCTTCTTGTAGTTGACAGAGAAGAACTTGGCAACCTTTTCCTGATCCGATTCTTTGAAGCCTTTGAAGCGATGCAGAGTGCCGTTTTTCAGAAAGATACGCAGGCCCCAGGTGCCGATGAACTTCTGGTAGTTCACCATCTCCATGTCGGAGGCGGAGATCTGTTCGACCTTCCCTGTCTTCTGATTCTTGAAGATCAGGTGCTGATCGGTCAATTTCAACCTGCCTGGCGTCTAAGCAATGACAGAAAAACGATTCGTCGATCGTATACATAATCACATAAGATACTCGTATAATTTTCACATAATTGCGTAACACAATGAAACGAATCGATAATTCGCGCATCTTCGGCAAAGCTAGAATCGAAGCTAACCGATTAAACGTTATTGCGATGTTGTGTAATTAGAAACAGGTCGCCGCGTCACTTTGAGGTTAGAAGAACGATATCAGAAACACGGTGTTTCGTTTATTGATAAGGATCAATTACGCGACATTGCTTAATTGTTTTGAAAGCGGCCGGAGAGCTCTTACCATAGCGCCCTTAACCTCGGCGAAAATATCCGGATACTCGAGGAAATCCATCGTGAATAATTAGCCAAGATCGTTATTAAATTAGTTGAACAACAAATGATACTGCAGAAGATTACGTGGACCACTCTCCGAACGCCAGACGCGCAAAGATAAATCAGACATGTGTTATTTACTACACTGGCGTGTACTTGCTAGAACAACACACAAAACGCGGCAAAGCTAATTGACGAAAAATGGCGGAGAGCAGCAGTGAGGCACGCCGCTAATTGCAAATGTGTAAATTGACACGCGATTGGCCACCGAGTAAAGGTTACCCGCACTGACCGCCATGTTCAAAGCAGAAGGCGAGTTTAAGGAAAAAGCGATTTCTAGGAAATTTATTATAAAATAAATAAAATGTATATTTTTAGATTTTTATATTTCACCGCTTGAAATAGGATTGAAATGTTTGAAATCCAAACATGAAGCATTTCGGCATACTCAAAAATTAAAAAAAATAAAGAGATGCACAAGTAACAATCATTTAATAAAATAATATTCATCGTCACTTCTCTTATAGTTCTCTCTTTAATTTTCTGAAATTTTAACTTTTATTTCTCATTTGACTGATTTTCTCTTCTTCTCCGAAGATCAAATAATTTCCTGTAAATATTTGAGGTTTTTTCTATCGTAGGCGGATTAATTATTACGTTGTTAAAAAGCACGAATAAATAAAAGTAGCAAAATAAGAAAATATTCTGCTTCTTAAAAATACTGTTTCCTATAACTATTTTATTATAGTTAAACGTCATTCTATAATATTATCACAATTCATAATTATCAATATATATTTATCATTATAATTATCAGTGTAGTATACAATCTGATCTCCTTCGTCATACTTTTCAGTCTTTGTTTACGTAAATATATTGCATTAAATAAAAATAAATATAAGCGTTACTGTTGTCAGCTCATCAACAAATTTAACCAATCATCATTTATGTCTGCAGGTATGCTCGTGTCCATAAGCATATCTTCCAACAGAGTGTTTATCTCACCGCTCGACATATTCCCTAGAGACTCGTTTGCTGTATTCAAGTTATCTGTAACATCTAGGTTGACTAGCATTTTCGTAGTTGCCGAGATTACCCCCGCGCCAGAATTCATTTCCACGTCATTCACTGTAGCGTCTGATTGCAGTAATTTGCCACCTTCATTCTGTTCACTTCCACTTTTATGCTGCTCACTTAAACCTACGCATGTGTAATCAGATAAATCGAGATTCTTGAAAGTGTCTGTTACGGTTGTATCCGCGAGGGAATGTCCATGTTCCTGTATCTTTCTATTATTACAATGTTCATTGGTGCTAGGAAAAATCCTAAGATTAATATTAATGTTTTCGATGTTGATGATCTTCGGCAGCGTCCTAACGCCCGCATTCTGCTCATTCGAGACACTAATTCTGCATTTCTCAGGGGAATTAACGTCTCTTAATTCGAATGCCTCGAACAGCGGCGATTTATTGGAACCGGCAGATTCCTTCGTCGAGGCAATGTATTCTTCACATACAGGCGATGTACCGGCTTTGTCCTCAGCTGGTGTATTCGATAGATATTCGGCCATGATTTCCGTCAGCTCTTTGGAAAGGTCCTCCCCGGGAGTCACAGGTGGTGTGTAGAGCGAAAGTTCCGTCAGCGCGGACACGTCCTCCTTGACGGAGCTCCTCGACTCCTCCCAGGTGCAGGAGAGAGCATTTCGAGAGAAGAATGTCAGCTCCTCGTAACCGATCGGCCAGCTGCACTGAAATACAAAGTAGAACTATGAGATATATAGAAATGCAGAGAGAATACACGAGAATTAAACGAGCAAGTAGATCGTTTACGTCTTCCGCCTCGCAGGACCACACCGCTTCTTCCAAATTGATCTGAAACGCCTTGATTCTTCTCTTAATGCCGTCCTTCGCGCACACCGGACAGAAACTCTCCATTCTGTAATAATCGTAGTCTGTTAATAATTTATTTAAAAAACAAAACAAACTCGGTGGGAACAACCACGTGGTTTTGCGCACAAATTCGATTGTGAAATGAAATAAAAAACGTACGTTCTATGATTAATTAAGCGTGATTGATAAGCTACGTCGGGTATTTTACATAATCAAGCATTGCAATGCTTAATTATGTAGTTCTCGTCGCACGTGCCCTCGAGATGCCGAACGCAAAGTAACCTACGAACCGCCGGCATTTCTACTGGCGAACACATTGGAGCAAAGTGCAAACGTCAATTTAGCATGGACTGGAACCTTTCACATGCGTCCACTCGAGAGATAATTCGAGCAGTCGGTAACGCAGGAAGCTCCTAAACCTCCTGAAGTTAATCATGTTACAATTTAAATTTTCAAAAAGAATTAGAACAAAAATTATAGTACTCAAATATTTCTGAAAATGCTACATAGAATAAGATAAGATTTATAATAATTTACATTTGTTGAGTTACAATTTATACATTTTATTAGCAGTTTTTAATTTTATAATTTAAATTTATTTGAAAAATTGATGCATTCATAAGTTTTATAATTATTTAATTTAAAATTAAAGCACACAATAGTCATTTTTTTATTTTAAGAAGGTCATTAAAGACATTAAAATCGTTTAAAAATCATATGTTTTAATTGTACACGTATAAATTCTTTCGACGACGTGGACAATCATGCGTGGTCAATCGCAACGCGAGACCAATCGCGACGTGGGCAATCGCAACGCGATTAATTGCAACGCGTGGGCAATTGCAACGCATGGTCAACCGCATGGATTATTTGAATTTTATTCTTCAATCATCAATAATCAATATAAGATCTTTCTTTTTAATTGCTCGGGAAAATAAATTCCACATATAATTATATATAATTATATACAAAATATGTCCATATATGTTTCTTTCCTTTGTAAAATTATTCTTTAATACAAAATTGATAATAATAAGAAAAAAACATAAAAAATAATTTTAAGAATAATTTTACAAAAGAAAGAAACATACATATATAGACACATTTTGCATATAATTATATATAATTATATGTGGAAATTTTTTTCCCGAGTGTATGCATCAAGATGCTTCTGTAAATAATTTATTTACAGAAAAAAAGATCAAAATAAAATGAAAATCATGCAGAAATTTATATTAACATATTGTAAACACTAACATAAAAGAAAATATAAATAATAAATAGTCAGAATCATTCGCAAGCGTATTTAATAAACTTGAGAATTCGATCTGTTGTCAGAAACAATGCCTAGTATAAAAAAAAGTAACATCATATTTATTATTTTATTTTTATTATAAACAGTACCTATATCTATAGCGTAAATTAAAATCGCTCCTTGCTATATCAAATTCATATATTTAGAGTGTTTCGAACTGACAATAAGTGCCAAAACTGCTGGTATAGCGACTTTAGCATAAAAACAAGTAAAAAAATGCCTTAATAAACATACATCCGATTTCGAATAATTTCGGAATTACAGGGAGATATTGATGTTGCTTAATTTCGTATAAGTAAAACATGGATTGAAGTAACACTATTCATAACATTATTCATCTATATTTGCTTTCGCGATGAGAAGTCTAATTATTTTTCTAATCGGACACCACGTTCGATTAGTCATACAAGGTAAGCTGAAAAAATTTAATAATACGCAGCTGCGCATTTACACGCGCGATAGCACTTACTTATAACAAGTGTGTCCCGGAATTGTCCCCCGGCATACCGATGAAAGTGACTTTCTTTATACTTTCTCGCTTCTATAAACATCTTACGTTTCCTACAGAGATCAGTTCTCTGCCGTCTGTCGCGCGTTTCAAATGTACTCCCTGCAGTCTCCCGGCCGTAATTCATTATAACTGCTATAAAATCATAAAAAGAGTACTTGCGTTATACAAATTATTACGTAACGTGATTAAATAAATTAATATTAAGTAAAAAAAGTGATTAAGATTAAGTGTAAAAAAATCAAAAGGGCAAAGAGTTCTTTGAAATCTTCGAAAGATGGGAATCTTTGTACGGCCGATTCTGGAAATTTCGGATTCTCCAAAAGAGGTAATTAAAGATGTAATCCAAGATAAAAACTGGTTGCATATCGAAGATAGAATCCGACAGAGCGTGAATGATAAGAATGCTGATAGATCATATTGTTCACACAGGCGCGGACGATGATAGCGACCAACGTATTGTCTCAAGCACATTATGTGTCCAGAATAAAACGGGGACAGGCGATCGGCTCCGTTCGAGGATTTCGCGGGTGCACGATTTGGATGACGGGGCTCTCTGGCGCGGGGAAGACTTCCATCTCTTTTCAGCTTGAGGAATATCTCATTTCTCAGGTACGTTACTGCAGGTATACATGCATGCAGGCTACACACAGCGGCGTGGCTCTACATTTCCGGATACCTTTGGACGGAACGGTATTTTTATTCGTATTATTAATTTTTGGAACAGGGAATTCCCGCGTACAGCTTGGACGGCGACAACGTGCGAACCGGTCTGAACCGTAATCTCGGCTTCAGCAAAGAGGATCGCGAGGAGAATGTGCGCCGCGTCGCCGAGGTCGCGAGGCTCTTCGCGGACGCCGGAATCATTGCCCTCTGCAGCTTCGTCTCGCCGTTCGCGGCGGATCGGAAAATGGCACGGGAGATTCACGAGAGCGCCGGTCTGCCCTTCTTCGAGATATTCGTCGACGCGTCCCTTCAGGTCTGCGAGGCCCGCGACGTCAAAGGGCTCTACAAGAAGGCACGTCAGGGTATCATTAAGGGCTTCACCGGTATCGATCAAAATTACGACGTGCCCGTCGAGCCCGATCTCGTCGTCAAGACGGAGAACGCGACTGTTCAACGGTCCACCGACATCGTCATCGACTTTCTCCAGCGCAAACAAATTATACCAAAGATATGCGAACCTGAGCAACCCTTTCTGGAATTATTCGTTAAGCCGGATAGACTAGATGACGTCCGGGAGGAAATAAAAGCTCTTTCAACTTTGGAAATTGGAAAGATAGATGTGCAATGGTTACAAGTTCTCGCTGAAGGATGGGCGGCGCCCTTGAAAGGATTTATGAGAGAAAACGAATATCTTCAAGTAAGTTTAAGTCTATCCTACACGGAGAGAATTTTTTTTTTAATTTTCCCTTGCAAATCATGTTAATTGTGGAACATTGTAGTATTTAGGCAAATTTTACTGTGCACTACAATAAATTTTACTGAAAAATCTTATTGTAGTGCACAGTAAAATTTGCTCAAATACTATATTGTCCCACAATTAACATAATTTGCAGGGTAAATAAAAAAAAAATTCTCTCCATCTATATGTAATAATTTATAAATTTATATAGGAATTAGAGTATAACTTCCTATATAAATTTCAAATATCAAAATTCATATATCAAACGCAAACGCATCATTTTTTTTTTTAAATAGGTGCAGCATTTCAACTGCCTGCACGAAAACGGCGTTTCGGTCAATCAATCGATTCCCATTGTTCTTGCCGTGAGCACTGCTGACAAAGAGCGCTGCTTCGGCGCGAACGCGCTCGTTCTCAAATACCAGAACAAGGATCTCGCCGTCCTACGCAATCCGGAATTTTATCACCATCGCAAGGAGGAACGTTGCTGCCGTCAATTCGGCACGAATGATCCCAGACATCCTTACGTCAGATTGATCCGAGACTCTGGCGACTGGTTGGTCGGCGGGGATCTGGAAGTGCTCGAGAGAATTAGGTGGAACGACGGGCTGGATCATTACAGACTGACGCCCAACGAGATCAGGATCAAGTGTCGGGAAATTGGCGCCGACGCGGTTTTTGCTTTCCAACTGCGAAATCCGATACACAACGGACACGCGTTGTTGATGCAGGTAATTGGTTCCTGGCACTTCACGAAATAACGAAAAACTTCGTGCAAACAGCCATTATTGCTCGCTCGTAATTACTTCTACGTCTCGTTAATTGAATCTCCAGGATACCAGGCGACGTCTCGAGGAGTATGGCTTTAAGAAGCCAGTACTTCTTCTTCATCCTTTAGGCGGGTGGACTAAAGACGACGACGTTCCCCTACCGGTCAGGATACAACAGCATCAGGCTGTTCTCGAGGAAGGTGTTCTGCACGAGGATACTATTCTCGCTATCTTCCCTAGTCCGATGTGCTACGCCGGTCCCACAGAGGTCCGTATAATTATTCCTAATATTTTAAGCAATATGCGTTATGTGTAATATCTGAAATATATAAAGATTAATAGCCGATTTAAAAAATGCTCAGCCGCTTATCGTGACGTTTACAATATCTGTTATAGGTGCAATGGCATGCCAAAGCTCGTATGATCGCAGGAGCCGATTTCTACATCGTCGGACGAGATCCTGCCGGCATGCCTCATCCTGATAAATCCGCCACGCCAGACGGCAATCTTTACGATGGCACTCATGGTGCGCGCGTTCTTTCAATGGCGCCAAGTTTGCAGAATCTTGAAATTATCCCTTTTAAGGTAGCTGCTTACGACACCAGAGCGAAAAAAATGTCTTTCTTCGAAGCTGAACGGCAACAAGACTTCGTTTTCATTTCCGGTACAAAAATGCGTAGTAAGTTTCCATTCTGTGTTCTATAATCTTTTTTTATCTGTTAGATAGAATTTAAACAATTTTATGTTATTTTTATTTAATGGCTTCATGCATGTATCTGTACAAGATTTATAAAGATATATTTATTGTTTTTTTTTCACATTAGATTTGGCAAAAAATGGTGAGGATCCTCCCGAAGGTTTTATGGTACCGAAAGCATGGAAAATTGTCGCGAAATATTACGAAACTGCGTAATCAAGAAGCGAATTAATGGAATAAACAATTAGTAATGTTTATGTATTTTTTTATGTATAGTTTAACATAACTGATGTTAACATATATTGTATAAAACAATGAAGAGTTTTATAATGGACAGATAATAAAATAAAATATATAGGTAATCTATTGAACTGCAAAAATAATGGAACAAATCTTGCATTTTGTTCTAATCTATTACCTCTGGTATATCTTTATTTATTGCATCGAATGACACGGAAGGACATTTTGTAGTTTAAATATATTCGACAATCAACCGAAGATTGTCGATAGAAAATATTCTGCCATTTAATCCGGTATATCTGGAACACCAATATCCCATTATGCTTAACTTTATCTTTGTACGTTTTATCGTAAAAAATGAGCGTTTGCTTAAGCAAACTATAGATGATAAAAGATATCACATGTGTTCACCTTCTTCTTCAGAGTCGGATATTCGGGTAGCCTGAAGCGAGCTTTGTTTCGTTAATGTCCGGACTAGGCCACGTGGTCTTGGTGGCGGCGACTGTTTGTTCCAAAGGGCCTCGAGTTGATCAAAGTGTTGAGACTGCGCTAAAGCGGCCTGCTCGGGACCTAGGCCAGATTGAGAACCGGCTAAACCTGCCTGGCTGATCTCCTCCATTGACGCGCTCACGCTAAAACGTCGTTTCAATCGTTCCTCGATACTCGACACTATGATACCTGAAGATAAATGCAAGGAATGTCAAGCTAAATTAGCTTATTATTTAGCTCGCATGAAAATGCTCAAGGAATCGGGTTACGATTTCCAAATGATATATATTAGAATTATAAGAAAAAATAATAACCTGACGTAAGATGCCCATATTTTCGCTGCCAGGTATAAGTATCTAAAGACACCTCTTTCTTCAGCAACCTCTTGGCGGGCCGTTTCGGTCCTGGTGGTCTCAAATCTCGCGGTGCCACGTACGGCGGCAATTTGACGTATTGCGCGGGAGTATTGTGCAGACATAGAATAGGCATGCACTTCTGCTCCAACAATTGTACTGCCATCCTGGAGCAATCGGTGGACATTTCGACTCCTAAAACCGGTACGTGCAGCATGATGGAACTGAGCGAGGTGCCCTTCTTGGTGTCCCAGACGATGAGGCTCTTATCCTCGCTTCCGGAAACAGCCAGAGTGCCGTCGCCGGAGAGACGCACGCAGATCACGTAGCCCAGGTGACCCACGAGGGTGTGCAAGTCGGCGCCGGTGTTGATGTCCCAGACGATCAAATTGGCGTCCCTGGAGCCGGATACCACTATAGACTTGTCGAGCACCGCGACTGCTACGCAAGTTACGTGGTCGGTATGGCCGACTAACACCTGGGAGAGTTTACCGCCGGCCAGTTGCCATACTTTCAGACTCATGTCGCGGGAACCGGTGATCAGGTACTGAGAATCCGGCGTCACAACCAAGCACGTGATATCCTGCGAGTGCGATACCTGATGCTTCTCTTCGGGACCGGCGCCCAGGCTGAGTATGCGCACCTGATTGTCACCAGATCCGCATACCGCGAACCTGAAGCGATGAATTGGTTGAGTTTTAAAAATATAAAAATTTGAATGGATTTTAAAATAGAAAGATTTGAAGACAAAAATGCGAAGAGTGAATAGAACAGGCGAATAAAAAACATTTGACGCAGAAAAGTTTACGTGCAGTCTACTATACAAATCTTGTTTCCTCACCTCATGTCGGACGCAACAGCGAAACATCGTCCAGGTCCGCAAACAGATTGAATCAATGTACCGCTGTCTGCTGCCCATACTCTAATGGAGCCAGCACGGTCTGAACTGACCACCCTTCTTCCATCCAGCATAGCGGTAACAGCAGTTACCGGCGCCTGATGCCTGAACGTAGCCACGACAAGTCCCAGGGTTAAACCCCATACGCGTACTGTCTTGTCCTCGGATCCTAAAGAATTTACACATATACAGTCACCAAACTAATTGTCCGGACAATGCGTTAATATATCAATAATTTCTAAAAATTCAAGATAGAGCAATTTTGTCAAAAATTGTCGTAACATAATGATCAAAAAAAGCATTTCACAGCTTAAAGTCTGTACTTTCGAAATCCATAATTCATTAAATGACTTACTGATTCTTTATAAAGCTGCACGGATGCAAATGGAGATGCATCAAATCTAAAATGTTTTTGCTAAATTTGCAAAGTTCCATAGAGTGAAATAAAAACCGTATACAAATGCGACTTACAGCGTTTGAAAGCGTAAATCTTTACCTTTAATTTGCGTACTCAATCAGCATTGTGCGATTTTCTTTTACCGAGTTATTCAATACGAAAGCAAAAATGGTCATTTTTACTTCAATGTTGAGTAACTCGGTGAAAAAAAATCGCACAATGCTGATCGAGTGCGCAAATTAAGGTAAAGATTCACGCTTTCAAACGCTGTAAGTC